TGGGCTATTTACACACACACACACACACACACACACACACACACACACACACACACACCTGCCCCCAGGGAAGAGTAACTATTTGTGAACTGAACGTTCACAATATTCAGTGAACAAGCTGGGTGGGGCTACAGCAGAGGAGGGCTCCATCTTCATCTTCCCGACTTACATTCCATCTGTCCTGAAGCTAGGAGGAGCCCTATTCAACTTTCTTCTTTACAGTTGGTCTTTTACCAACTGTATGCAAGCCAAGTTTCACAGAAGTAACATCAAGAAGTGTGGGTTTGCTTTCTTTAGCTTGGAAGATCCTCTCACTTCTCTAGGCCAGTGGACTGGTACATTCTGACTTCTTAGTATCTCAATGGGATCAGCCGTTCTTTGAGGAAAAGAATCTTTTACAACTTCTATCACTCTACTAAATGCACGGAAATAGTCTTCTGGTGAATGGAACTAGACAGAGAAGACATGGGGCTGAGGGGCTGGGCAGGGTGCTTGGGAAGGAGAGAGCTGGGCTGTCGTCCAAATTTGACCACTAACTAGCTTGATAGAGTTCCTGAGCTTTATGTTACAGATGGTCCCCAACTTAAAAAGGTTCAATTTACCTTTTGATGTTACAGTGGTGCAAGCAATACACATTTGGTAAAGGCCATCTGTTGGTTTTGGAGTCTGATTGTTTTTCCCTAAGCCAACAATATTAGTTGCTACTCTCCTCTGTAATAAAGAACAACCATGGCCATCTATAGCTTCAGATCAACCACAGGTGGTCATGAGAGTTCACAGCCAAGATCCCAGAAGGTGTGCCAACACACAGCCGAGGGTCACTATGAGTGCAGCACAATACAAAAATCATAAGCTTAGTTACAACATTATGAAACTTCTGTGACTTTTTTGCAATTAATTGTGTGGTTATTTATTTATTTTTATTATATGTTTGAGTGCTTTGCCTGCACCTGTGTGTGTGCTGATGTCATGCAATGTCCATGGAGACCAGAAGAGAGCATCGGATCCCTGGAACTGGAGTTAAGACAGTTTTCAGCTGCCATGTGGGTGCTGGGAACCAAACTCAGGTTTGCTGCAACAGCAGCCAGTCTCTTAACTGCAGAGCCATCTTTCCAGTCCAACTGTGTGATTCTTAAGTATGAACCTGGCAGATGTCAACATCATGACACAACACAAAAGCCTGGCCACACCTGCTACGTACACTATGTTGCCTGTATGTTTAGACCCAGTGAAAGTTTTACAAGACCGTTGATAGATATTGGCTTCATAATAAGAACAGGGGCCAAGGATGATTTGTCCCTCAATGGAGACACGTTTGAACAAAGGCTGAGGTGTCCCCACACACACATGTCCTCTGATCTCATCAAAGCAGGAAGGAAACTAGGAAAGAGACAAACAGAAGAAGGAAATGGCAGGGGGGATGAAGAGGCGGGTATGGGGGGTAAAAATGTCAGAGGATATGATATACTTGATGGAAATTGTGGTTTTGAAACCCATCAGTATGTATAAGATATGCCAATAAAAATAAAATCTAAATTAGAATCTGAGAATTGGCTCAGTGGGTAAAAGCTTACTGTACAAGCATGAGGGCCTGAGCTCAAATACCCAGCACCCATGTGAAAAGCAGGTGTGATCACAAGGCATAAGTAACCCCAGTGGAGTTGGGGGTGGAGACAGGAGAGTCATTGAGACATGCTGGCTAATCATGCTGGAATCTAGCTCCAAGTCTGGTGAGAGGCCTTGTTTCAAGGAACTAAAGTGGAGGGTAGTAGAGGATGTCCGATGACCTCCTCTGGCCTCTGTGCCTGTGTGAGCATCTGCATCCACACATTCTTACATACCACACACACACTCACACAGATACACACACACACTCACACACACACACACACACACACACACACACACTGGGTTTGGGTGTCCTTGCACCCTTTTCCTGGAGCTGCAGAACAAAGAAGCTGTTAACTTGGCTGTGGCTAGTTTCATAATGGTGAAGTAAGGACAGCAGAGACATCCTGGCAAGAGAAGTGGACTGTCTGGCTTACTGGAGCTGTGGCATTCTGTCAGTCTTGAGATAAGGATGTGACTATTAACAGCAGGGTTAGGGTGAAATATTTGTGTCAGGGAACTTCTTGTTTCTATCAAGTGTGTTGCCTGCATGTTTGTAAGTGCACCCACGTGGTGCAATGCTCTTGGAGGGTGTTGGATCCCCTGGAAGTGGAGTTACAGATGGTTGTTGGTTGCCATGTGGGTGCTGGGAACTGAACCTGCATCCTCTGCAAGAGCTGCCAGTGGTCTTAACCACTGAGCCATCTCTACATTCCCCATATTCACCCTTTCTAATCTTCCCTTACCCCCTTGCCCCT